CTGTTGGGGCGAGGCTGCTTGTAACTGCAGTTCCAAAGGATCTGCAGACAAAAGCTGAAAAATAAGCATACAAAATGATCTTTCTCTGAAGAACAGTTGTGCTAACACACCAAGGATGGAAAAACTTTGGGCACCCATTCTGAGTGTCAGAAACCAGATATTACGACTTACTAGTCGTAATACTGTTTCTGCTTTACAGTTTAGTTAAAAGCAGAAAACAGCACTTGTTTGGTTTTTTCCTAGATAGAAGACTACAACTAGACTTGTTTATGACAGGGTCTCACTTTGTACTTCTGGCTCACTTCAAATTGCTTCCTAGGTGTGGTTCTACATCTCACATACATGCCAATGTTTTGTATTAGTTCCTCTATGTCTTCAATGTGTCCAAACTTTCAGACAGTGCAAACCTAATAGTGTAGTCATGTTCCTGAAGCTACTGCCATTCACAAAGGAGATCGAGATGCTTTTGGAATTTTATTTAAAAAAAAAAAAAAAATCCAGAATGGATGAAAAGAACAATCATCAAGGATACAGGTTCCAAGACACAGGCCAACCAAGAGGGTAGCTAGAAAGATATGCCTTAGGACCAAGAGAGACTTCATCTCTCCCCTGTCTCTTTAAGCTATAGTTAACACAGCTGTTATCCACTGACCTAGCTTTGCACCTACAAACCATGGCACAGGTAGCTGTCATGCAAGGCCTCAGTTGAAGGACCAATCCCTATACACATAGGTCATTCTTTATAGCAGTACTCTTGGCCAACAGGATCTACAGATAGTCTTATTGCATGTGAAATGGGTTTCATACCTAGAAACATGGCCATTTCAGCACAAACCGGATATACCTTAATAATGATTGGTATACAGCCCCACCCAACCCCTTTTCATGCGGCTGAAAAATAACAGGCTAGTGACAGAACAGTATGAACCTGCTACTGCTGAATTTACCACCCATTAAATGAGTTAGCTAATTGTCACTAAACTTATATATTAAGGAAATTATATATAGAATACTGCAAAAACACAGTAAAAAGACTGAAATTTGCCCCTTTTCTGCTCAGGAAGTCCCTTTACTCCCAAGCTTCATGGTATGTTGTGCTCTTCTGGCTTGACAATGTGCTGCCACTGTTACTGTTTCTCCTCCTTCTGATCTTCCTTCTGTTCCCCAGTACCAGAACTCCCAGAACCTTCCCGTTCAGATGCCATCTGTTGAGAAAATATTTGAGAATCACTAAGATTAGGCTTCATAGTTTGCTGTTCAACATACCTCATCTTGTATTTATCATTCCCTCTCCAGCCTTGTAAACCACCGGTATTCCCTATGCCTTTCACTGTAACATTCTTTCTATTCCCAATACTCCCAATTCCTTAAATAGTTATGGAGGGAACACCAGTAATTAGGACCAAAACACCCATCCAGCCCTCATACCTTTTTATATGCCATTTCAAAGAGTTTCAAGGATGCCTGCTGAAGTGAAGATGCTGCCTGTCTAATGTTTTCTCCTGTTTCACTGTCCTTTCGAGCAAGGAGTTCTCTCATTTTGGAAATCTCTTCCTTTAGCTTGTTGCACTGTAAAAGGCAAAAACAACAACAAAAAAAGTAAAACCTTTTTCCAAGTCTTCTGTCTCATTACATGTAGTTCACTATTCAAAATTTAAAACTTTTGCCCACAAACCTCTACCCTTTATTCATATTCTTAAACAAAATCAGTAAGTATCAAACCCAAATAAAAATTAAAGTCTATTGAATTGTTTCAAATAACTTACCTCATCAGCAGGTAACTGATCCTTGAATTCTTCCATCTTGGTTTCTGTGTCATGAATAATTCCTTCAGCCATATTAACTGCTTCAACACGTTCCTTAGAAAAATTATGAATTTAATGTAATGGACTTTCCAATCAACAAAAGTTCCATTAACTTCTAAAGCAAGTGAGACACTAAGTTATTTGCCACAGTTAACAGTAAAACTAGAATGACTATACTCAGAAGTACTACTTGGGGTGACCCAAGAAAGAGTTGAGGTTGGCTTTTGTAGTATACCCTTAACCCCAGATACCAAGGAGGCTGAGAAATGCCAGAGTTGTGGAGTCATCGTGACTACATGGTGTAATCTCACATTAAATAAATTATAAACTAAGGTAAAGGAATGACAGGAAATGACCTGCCGAAAGTCTACATCAGCTTTAACAAGTTCAGCAGAAGCAATCACCTTCTTTCTCCTGTCTTCTTCAGCATACTTCTCCGCATTTTTTACCATGTTTTCAATATCATCTTTGCTTAATCCGCCAGAAGACTGGATTACAACTGGAGTTAATAAAAAAAAATTCTTGTTAATTATCTCCCTTTACTGCATTGAAAAATAACATTAGTAGACAGTGCACATCTTCAATCCTTATTGACTCAGGAAGCAGACAACTCTGAGTTTAAAGCCTGCCATGGCTATAAAGCAAGATCCAGTCACCCCGTCCCCCATAATGCTGCCACTATTTATAGGAACTAGTCTGAATGATGCAAGTTATGAACATTAATCATGGTCTTAAAGTAAATTGAATAAAGAGACCAAGTAGTCTTCCTCTTATTGAAACTTCAGCAATCCACAAGGTCAAGCTTGCCTAGTTACCAACTCCTAATGTTAACTTATAAAAACGAGATTTGTTCCAGCATTTGGAATGAAGCAGCATGAAGATCTCATTGTTTGAGGCCACCCTGGTTTATGCAGCAAGTTCTAGGCCAACCCAGGGGTGCCAATTGAGATCTTGTCTCAAAACAAACAAAAACCCTTGAAATTCACTTCTGTAACAATAAGGTTTAAAAGTGGCAGTTATCCTTAAAGAAGGGCTAGAGACACGGTTTGGTGCTTAAAAGCACTTGTTCTTGCAGAGGACCTGGGTTCAAGATTCACAGCATCCACATTGGCAGATCACAACTGACATACATGAGGCACAAGAAATACATGCAAGCAAAACACACACACATAAATCTAAAAAGAGGCAGCTATCTCTGACACCTAGAAAAAAGGGGCCGGGCTATGGTGGCGCACAGCATGCCTTTAATCCCAACACTCGGGAGGCAGAGGCAGACAGATCTCTAACTTCGAGGCCAGCCTGGTCTACAAAATGAGTTCCAAGACAGCCCCCAAAATCACAGAGAAACCCTATCTCGAACCTCCCCCCTCCCCAATTAAAAAAAAAAAAAGAAAAAAGGGCAAGTGTGGTAGCAACCTCCCTAAGGGAGAAGACATGTACAGAGACAGAGCATGTAGTTCCCAATAACAGCCACCTTTTTCTTTGATGGTAACCAAATCCAGGGCATCACATATGTTAGAAGGCACTTTACTACTAGACTAAGTCCTCAGCCTCAAACCTTATTCATACAGAATGTAAATACTTACTCTGTTGCTCACGTCCTGTTCCTTTATCTTTGGCAGAAACGTGTACTATCCCATTGGCATCAATGTCAAATGTAACTTCAATTTGAGGAACTCCACGAGGGGCTGGAGGAATTCCAATCTAAAATAGATATCCAGAGTGAGCTCCTTTCATAGGCTGGTGTGTGTCTAGAGTTTACAGTAAATAAGGGAACTTCAACTGTAACAATGGTGACCCAAAACAATAGCTATCAAGTGTGTTTCAAAGGAGTAATCATGACATAATTTCTTAGTTAGCATTACTTCTGAATCTGAACATCTCCCTGGCTTTCATAACTTCAAAGTTCTGAAAGCATAAAGTATTTAAGTAAAAACTCAATTTGTAGGTTTCATAATAATCTATGAAAATTCTGTTTTTAAAAAATAACATAGTATGGGGCTGGAGAGATGGCTCAGTGGTTAAGAGCACTGACTGTTCTTCCAGAGGTCCTGAGTTCAATTCCCAGCAACCACATGGTGGCTCACAACCACCTTGAATGAGATTTGGTGCCCTCTGCTAGCATGCAGGCAGAAGATTGTATATATAATAAATAAATAAAATCTTAAAACAAAAAACCCACACAGTATAAGCCGGGTGATGGTGGCACTCAACACTCAGGTGGTTATCTGTGAGTTCAAGACCAGCCTGGTCTACAAGAGCTAGTTCCAGGACAGCCCCCAAAAGCCACAGAGAAACCCTGTCTCGACAACCCCCCCCCCCAAAAAAGAGAAAATAACAGTATGCCTGTGTATCAATAGTTTGGAGAGATTAGAATACTGTCAACTTTGCAAGCTATAGAACCAACAAGCATGATGTTCAGATTCAAAATACCCACCAAAGTAAATTGTCCTAAAAGTTTGTTGTCTCCAGCCATCTCTCGCTCTCCCTGACACACTTTAATCTCTACTTGCGTTTGTCCATCAGCAGCGGTAGAAAATACCTAGGGAGGAAGAAAACGTCCTTAGTTGGTAATCTGATTGGACTATACACCCATTATACAGAAAAGGGCTAACTACAGAAATTCACATTCTAATACCGAATGATTCCTAATTACTCTCAGAAAAAAAGGCGAAAATCTCTACAAAGACGGGAATAGGATTAGTATAAAAGGGCACACAATGGCTATTGTTTCAGCTAAACAAGGATGTTGTACAAGATGAAGCTTTAAAGTTGAAGGCATCAAAACAAGGGTTAAAAATACTGGTTTGCCAGTCTGGGGAATGTACCATGTGCTCAGTCATAAGAAGTCACCACATACTTGTTTCAGAATGATGTGTTGACAAATACATCACTGCACAAAATACAAAAGAAGAGTTTTCTAGAAAAACTCAAGACTGGAAATAAAACCATTTGAGACATGGCTACACTACATGGTCCACAAAGCTCTCGAACTCTCAATTTTCATGCCTCAGCTTCCCAAGTATTGGGATGAACCAACCAGTCACAAAACGTTATTAATTCTTCATCTATGACCATGCCATGTCCATACATGAGGCTTGGTAATACACAACTCAGTCCCCATCATTCACCCTGAAATCAAGCATAGTCCCACATTCCTAGAAAATAGGCTTTTTTATTTGCTTCTGATAATAGGAGACTACAGAGAATTCAGTAGGAAATGACAACAGCCTTTTTAGGAGACTGCATCATCTTTTAAGGAATCAACATCTAAAAACTTTTCCAGGAACTGCAGAAAAAAACAAGCAAAAAACCACCAACCACAACAAAAAACTCCAAAATACAAGAATCTTAACACCCACAGCCAGCTAGTGTGGATTTTGAAACTAAGTTTTAAATAGTTCATATAGTGGGCCTGTTGGTGGAATACACACACTCAGGAGGGAGAGGCAGGCAGATATCTGTGGGTTTGAGGTCAGCCTGATCTCCAGAGTGAGTGCCAGGACAGCCTCCAAAGCTACACAGAGAAACCCTATCTTGAAAAACCAATAAAGAAAGAAAGAAACAAAGAGTGGCTACACTTATACATTTAAAACTTCTGTTAGGAAAGATGGCTCTTACCTGGCTCTTTTTGGTTGGAATAGTGGTGTTCCTATTAATAAGTTTGGTAAAAACACCTCCCAGAGTCTCAATACCCAGAGAGAGGGGAGTGACATCCAGGAGTAGCACATCTGTGACATCACCAGCCAACACACCTCCCTGAATGGCAGCTCCAATGGCTACAGCTTCATCAGGATTAACAGCTTTACTTGGGGCTCTGCCAAAAAGATCTTGCACAGTCTGCTGAACCTATGCATCAAGGAGAACAACATGTTAGTCAATACCCAGAGCAACCGCTGGAGTGACACAAACACTAAGATGCCAGTGAGATTGCAAGTTAGATGGACTCAGATCCAAGAATGTTGACTTCTTGTTCAGGTTTGACATGAACACCTTTACATGTGAAACACGAACATGTTTTACAAAGCATCTCATTTACTGTCCACTTAGAGAAACATTTCCCAGAATACATTAATCACCTGAAACAGAAGGCAAGGGTTTACAAAATACAGTTTACATATTCTACATAATTAAAGATCAATCTGAAGGAAAAAAGTACTATCAATTATCAATTCTGTGGCTTAAATGAGATCTCTCTCTCTCTCTCCTCCCTCCCTCCCTCCTCTCTCTCTCTCTCTCTCTCTCGCATGTGGGATTAAAGCTGTGGGCCCACCATTCAGCTGAGGTTTAGTTTTTGGTTCTATGTATTAGAGCTAACAAAATACACAGCATCTTGGGATAATTTGTTAATATCAGTGCGTCCTCCGGAACCAGAGTCCTAGGTCTAAATTTATCCTGGACCCATTTCCCAATATCCCGGTGTTTCAGCAGAGAAACAAAACCACCCACAAACAATACAAACCACCACCAAAAGATCATTAACTTGGGCCCATGAAAATTCTATCCAGCTACCAAGAACAACTGCATCTTCAACAGTCTGTGCTCAGTTATTATTTCTCTACACATCTGTTTTCAGAATGATGTGTTGATTAATAAAATGCATCATTGCACAAATCTTTGTTGAAGAAATGCAAGTAGCCCCAAGTACTATGCTGGGAAGGTGTGCCCAAACACCACCTAAGGAATGTCTACTTATCAAGGCTTGACAGCATAATCTTATGAGACTGGTTAAAGAATCTCCCTGCTACCCTTTCTTGCATTTTTTAATTAAAATAAACTAAAAAGGGTTTTTGGGGGACAGGGTGCACTCTGTAGCTGGGTCTTCCTGCCTTAGCCTCTCCAGTGCTGACATTACAGGAGTAAGGCACTACATCCAACTAAAAAGAACTTTTTGGTGAGGCTAGTCTCATCCTCCTTTCAAGTAACCTAGGAGAATGGATCACACTCATGTACACACACATAACCTATCTGTCCCAAGAATGCATTATGTATTGATTCCTGTTTCCCATTAAGGAATACCGTGAGTCCATACCTTGGGCATTCTCGTCATACCGCCAACCAGAATCACTTCTCCTATGTCACTCTTGCTGACTTCTGCATCTTGCATAGCTTTCTGGCATGGAGCAATAGTCCTCTTGATTAGGTCTGTGACAATGCCTTCAAACTGAGCTCGAGTCAGCTTCATATTCAAATGCTTGGGTCCAGAAGCATCCATTGTCAGATATGGCAAATTGATGTCAGTCTACAAAGAAAATTAACTACAAGTCAGTAGAGAGCCCAATCTTTAATATTCCAATTAAGGTTAGGATGATATCCTAGGAAAGGACTTACGAAACCAGAGTCAGCCTTACTAAATTCCCAAAATGCGGTGGAAATACACTGGAATCCATTGTAATGGGGTCTATATTATTAACAACGAAGACTGGGGCAGACAAGAAAAAACTATCATTTGACAGATGTGTAATGGCAAAAAAGATCTCTAAGAACCATACCGCCTGTGGGGTTGTGTTTCACATTGAATTTTAAAAATATCCAGTGCCTGTGCTCATTAGTGCTTGTTGTTTTGGCAGAGGACTTGAGCTAAATTCCTAGCACTTATACCAGATAGATAATGATTGCCCATACTTCCAATTTTGGGGAATCTGATACTCTTCTAGCTTCCATTGGTACCGGCACTCACCTTCTTCCATCTTCTCCACGTACATAAAAATAAAATCATAGAAAAAAAAAGAAATCCCATGTGCATAAACGAAAACGTTCTTAATCAGCAGGTGGTGGCTATACATAACTCTAATCCCAGCACTTGGAAGTCAGAGGCAGGCAGATCTCCAAGAGTTCAAGTCCAGCCTGATCTACAAAGAGAGATGAGAGGAGAGAGAGAGACAAAGAGAGAGGGCAGGAGGGAGAGAGGTGTGTGTTCGTGCATGCGTAACCGGAAACAAAAAGAATGTTCTCCATTAACATCTTAACATATCCAGTCTAAGTTCTGGGGAATTAGTGAGCGTTACAAACACTCTTACTAGAAAAAAAGCAAAACCAATGCACACTGGATGTGCTGGCACTGCCTGTAACCTGAGCCCTCATGAACCACAGTCAAAAAATCATACATTCAATCATCTTCAGCTATAGTGAGTTCAAGGTCAGTCTGAGCTGCAAAAGACCTTGTCTCAAGACATCTGACTTGTATTGCCCTTACATTCATTGAGAACAGGTAACAGCTAATGCCCAGTATTTTCCAAATCCCATAGTTTGGGGTTACATATGTGTAATCAAGGATATTTAAATTGAATGTGGTAAACATATTGTATACTTGTATGGAAATACCTTCATAAACTTAGCTACTATCGTATTCTTGTCAAAGGACAACACAATATTCTTAAGCACTTTTCTCCAGGGCAAAGTACCTTTGATAATTAAATACTTACACTATATAAATGGTGTTGGATATTCCTTGTTAAGAGTAATGAGTTTTTTTTTTTTTTTCTCTGAAAGCTTCAGTGACATTAGAAAATAATACCATCTGGCAGAATTTTGTCAACAGAAAGTCTCAATTTGGCCATCACTAGCACCATGTAACTACTGAGGACTTTAAATAAACTATGAAGGGCTACAGAGATGGCTCAGAGGTTAAGAGCATTGATGGCTCTTCCAGGTCCCGAGTTCAATTCTCAGCAACCATGTGGTGGCTCACAATCATCTGTCAAGATCTGGTGCCCTCTTCTGTCCTGCAGGCATACTTGCAGGCAGAACACTGTATACATAATAAATAAATCTTTAAAAATCTATGAAAATGAAAATTTAAATGTATTCTTAATTAACTCAAAAACCTTCAATCAGATACAGTACTAACTTAATTCTATGCTATCACAATCTAAAACTTCAGGAGTATCAATATTTTTCTTTCTTGGGTGGTTTAAAACAGGTTCAAAGAACAGCTCTGGCTATCCTACAACTCACTATGTAGGGCAAGGTGGACTCGGAACGCAGAGAGAGCTACCTGACTCTGTCTCCCAGTGCTAGTGGTACTCTACACCTGGCGTGGGACTACCAATTTTTTTTAAAAAGATTTTATTTATTATGTATACAATTACTGCATGCATGCCATGCTTGCACACCAGAAGGTGGCACCAGATCTCATTACAGATGGTTGTGTGCCATCACGCGGTTGCTGGGAATTGAACTCAGGACCTCTGGAAGAACAGTCAGTGCTCTTAACCTCTGAGCCATCTCTCCAGCCCCGACTACCAATTTTTATGACAAAGTCATTCATTTTATGACACAAAGTGCCTTGCTTCCTCCCTTTAAACTCCACCACTTAACTCTCTTTAATCCAGGATTCCTTACGAAACATTTCTAATTCCATTCCAACTTTTCACAAATCATAATCAGACCATGTTAACAATCCTTTTGGGGTTCATACCCATTATCATCTTAATATAACCACCAATCCAAATGGGGAAGAAGTCTCTAGGCTCATCATCTCTTCTATCTGTACCCATCTATTATAGTCCTTCCCTGGGTCTTTACTCCAGAGCCTTATACATTGCTGCCCCAATCAATTTTCTCCAAAACTACCCCCACAAAATATCAAAAGAAAAGGAAGAAAGAAAAGAAACAGCAGCCAGATGATAGTGGCGTGCACCTTTAAGCCCAGGACTCAGGAGACGAGGACAGGTGGGAGTTCAAGGCCAACCTACAATATGAGTTTCAGGACAGCCAAGGCTACACAGAGAAAACCCTGTCTCAAAAGACAAAAACAAGGACAAACAAAAGTGTGTTACCTAAATGTATGTACATTTACTACACAGGTGTAGATGTCTAGAGAAGCCAGATGAGGGCGTGACCTGGAGTTACAGGCAAATGCTACTTTGTGTATGTGCTGGGAACCAAAAGGAGAAAAACAAAAAACAAAAAAACCTGCTCTCAATTAATGAACCATCTCTTTCCAGGCACCTCAAAACTATCCTATCCTTATCATGCTGCATGCTACCACCTTCACCTTCAGGTTACTATTTAATGAATAGTCCTCAGTATTTAGTAGTATGTAAACCCCACAATTCTAAGAGAAAGCTACCACTCAGGCTCACTTAAAAAAAAAAAAAAAAAAAAAGTTAAATAATTCATCTAAAATCACACAGCTAAGAACCTTATGAGTGGAGCTAGAAAGATGCCTCAGTGGTTAAGAACACAAGTTGCTTCAAGGCGGATGTGGTGACACCTTGAATCCCAGCACTCGGGAGGCAGAGGTGAGGCTACCAGCCAGGGCTACACAAAGAAAACAAAACAACACTGACTGCTTTTGCAGGAGACTAGAGTTCAAATCCTAGCACCCACATCCACCTGTAATTCCAGTCCCAGGAGCTCTTCTGACCTCTGCAAATACCAAGCATGCATGTAGCACAGACACACATGAAGGCAGGCAAAAAACACCCACACACATAAAAATTAAAAGCAAAAAAAAAAAAACCTTTTGGGTTTATATTACTATGCTTTTCAGGGTTTCTCTTTGAAGCCTTAGGTGCTTGGCTGTCCTGGACTTACTCAGTGGACCAGATTAGGTTTGAACTCAGATCTGCCTGCCTCTGCCTCCCAAGTGCTAGAATGAAGACATGTGTTAACACTGCCTGACTGGTGTTGATATTCTAATTAAAATCCATCTTTCCAAAGTAAACTATTAAGTCTGCTGTGATGTTCCTAAGAATTCATTTTAGATTTACAATCATAGGTATACACCGACTTTCCTAAATATACTTTGCTAAAGTGCTAAATATTGGCTAGAAGAAAATATCCTCCAGTAAGATCCAGCCACATATATGTAACCAACCTGTTCCTTTCCCAGTTACCAAATACTGAGATTTATATATTTATATATATATACTGCAATTCCATATACCCTGAACCACAACCCTGAACATTAGTAAGTCACACAAGTTCTGTCACTCACCAGACAAAATGATATCAATACCCAAAGGTAGATACTGAAGGCAGATTTCTATTCATAGCTCAATTTCTAGAATGGTGATCTTAGATAGAGAACTAGTAATTCATATAACCCACAAAGTATACATTAAAGTTAAAACAATTTTTCCAGGTTAGTAATTCTAATTCTTCACACTGCTTTTATTAATGCCTTGCCTTTTTTGGAGGGATGATGAGATCTCTATCACTCAAGCTAGTTCTATGTCCTGGGACTATGGGCATCACCAGGGATTGTTAAATCAATGCTTTGGGAATGGGTGGGGGATATAAAGCAGGGGTCTAGCAGGTGTTGAGACCCTGGGTTCAATCACTGGTCCCAAAGAAATGAAAGCCACTTTTTCCTTAAAAAAAAAAAAAAAAAAAAAATTCATGCCATGCAGCACAAGCTGGCTGGAAACCACTATATACCCAAGCTTGCTCTGAGGGTCATACTCTAGCCTCAACCACACCAGATTTTCCTTTTTTTTTCTGTACTAAGATGTAACTCAAAAGACTTTATACTGTTAGCCAAGTCCTCTACCACTGAGCTATCTATCATCTCCTGCTCTAAAATCCTCATCTTGTTGGTTGTGCTGGTGGCGCACGCCTTTAATTCTAGCACTAGGAAGGCAGGGACAGGCAGAACTCTTGAGGGAGACAGGGCTATACAGTGAAACTATCAAATCATCATCATCACCACCATCTTTAACTAAATGACTTGTATCCAGTGTCATTCAAATCAGAACATGATTTTTTTGGCTCTAGTATAACCTCCTATTAAAAATGTTTAGCTTGGAGTTGGAGAGACGGCTCAGCAGTTAAAAGCACCAGCTGCTCTTCCAGATGACCAGGGTTCAACTCCCAGTACCCCCGTGGCAGTTCACAAGTGCCTGTAACTAACTCTAGTCCCAGGGAATCTGACCTCCTCACACAAGAAATGAATACAGGTAAAAACAACAATGCACACCAATGCCTTTAATCCCAGCACTTGGGAGGCAGTGGCAGGATCTCTGTGAGTTCGAGGCCAGCCTGGTCTACAAGAACTACTTCCAGGTCAGCCTCCAAAGCCACAGAGAAACCCTTTCTCAAAAAACAAAACAACAAAAAAAGAAGCTACACTGACATTAGGTAAATTAGAATATGCTAATTAAATAAACGGAGGCTAAAAATATCCATCAAAACTACTGAGATCTGTTCATGTCTTACCTGCACAGATGAGGAGAGTTCACACTTAGCCTTCTCAGCAGCTTCTCGAACTCTCTGAAGTGCCATGTTGTCTTTGGTCAAATCAACCCCCGTCTACAAAATAGGATTCATGAGACAATTAATAAAGAAACTGGCCGGGTGTTGGTGGCGCACGCCTTTAATCCTAGCACTCAGGAGGCAGAGGCAGGCGAACTCTGTGAGTTCGAGGCCAGCCTGGTCTCCAGAGAAAGCGCCAGGATAGGCTCCAAAGCTACACAGAGAAACCCTGTCTCGAAAAACCAAAAATCAATAGAGAAAATGTAGTGGCAATGTAGAAGCTATTTTGTTTGATTACAAAGGGGCCATCCCTTTATAAAAAGAACACAAACTGTGAAGATTTATGGCTCGGGA